ACAGCTGTATTCCGATGTCCATATTCAGTTTCCATAATTATGACTCTCTGAGTTGCAGAGATTTTAATGCCTATATCGTGATATACGTCCAATGTCTCTGTTCCTACGAACTCTTTTATTTCTTCTGCCACAATATTGAAGTTGTTTGTTTATTGTGATTCAAAGTCACTCTAACATCGAAACGTCCGAGGACTTGAATAAAACGTCCTATAAATGTTTGCTCAAGAATGTTTTCGTTTCGGAGGCCTACAATTTTTTATCTTCAAGCAATACTACATATCAAAATGATAAAATGTCATACTCCTATAACTCTGCTGCTAATAAATGGCGTTACGGCCCTGTGTGGAGAACTACTTAAGATACAGACACAATCAAAATAAATATGGAAATTGGTGATTTGTGAATAAATCTAAGTATGAACCGAATGGATCAATTTTAGATAGTTCTTGAACACTTGAACTGTAGACTGTAGATTGTGAGGGTGTCGTTTCAGCTTTCCAGCCGCTCAGCACTGCTATTTTTGCAGGTATTTTGTACGTGACTCTACATCTTCAATTGTCTCCAGGAAGCTGCCGCAGGAAGCTATTTTTCTGGGTATCAGTTGGCCCACTTCTTCTGGTGACTGGGTGTTGCCCCCTCGAAGAATTTTAGTCTCTCGCAGAATTGGGCTGGACAGAGCAGATGCTCTGCGGTCTCTATTGCGTCTGAGCAGAATCTGCAGAGATCGGCTTCTGCTCTGCCCATTAACCTTAAGTGCTATTTCACCAGGCAGTGTCCTGTAAGCAGTCCTACTTTGATGTCTGGTCTGCTCATGTTTAGGAGCTGTTCAGCTCTTTTTGCTGAAAGGGTGATAAACTTTTTTGACTATCTTAGTCCCGATGTGTGCTTCCAATATGATGAAAGTTGGTCTCTCTCCCATTTGTTGAGTTTCTTCATGATGTGGCTTTTCATTGAGCCACAATAGGGCTCTGGTTCATGGTATGGTGTTGAGGCCCCTTTTTTTGCGAAGCCATCTGCTTCTTCATTTCCTTCTATGCCTCGATGACCAGGCAGCCACATCAGCGTTACCTGGTTGTGTGTCGCTAGTGTTTTTAGGGTCTGTTTACACTCCCAGACTAGTTTTGAGGTGCATTTGAAAGCCCTTTTAGGGCAGCTTGGCTATCTGATAGTATGAAGATGTGTTTTCCTTTGAAGCTTTGGTTGCGACACTCTTTTGCACATATGTTTACGGCAAGCAGTTCAGCTTGAATTATTGTAAGATGTTTGCCCAATGCCTTGGAGAGCTTAAAGTTAGGGCCGGAAATGTCCAATCCAGCTCCTTCCGTTAGTTTGGATCCATCTGTGTACTGCGTCTGCTTTTGGTAATTCTTTATTCTCCCATGATTGGCGCTTGTTTATTACCACTGCGAATTGGATCTCTAAGTCCAAAGTCCAATCTGACCATCCTATATATGGTCGCTTGGTTTGCTGGCATCTTCCAGTTTTATTATTTCAAAGATGCGCAGATGTAGTCTGAGGGGAGACCACCAGGCTTCAACTTGTCTGTTTGAAATAGCCTGTGAGTGCTAATTATTCCCTTGTTTTTCAGACACAGGTGAAGTGGAAGCATGTTAGGCAGCGTCTCTAAGGGCTGCGGTGGGGCAGTTCGACATTAGTTGTATTCCTTTCACACCTAGGAGGAGCTCCGGAACAGCTCCGGGGCTTCACGCACTTATTCCTTTCGAAAAGTGTTTGTTGCACCACGCATCTGTTCCCTGTAAATCGGGTACGACTGAACACCGGAGCGAGTTGCTCAAGTGTTTCAAACTCTTGAAAGGAATACAACTATTGCTCTTGTTATTTCTAGGCATGTCAGCCATTGTACCTTGTTTAGCTTGATCTGAGCGGTGACTTGTTGAGTTTTGTGCCACCATACCAATGAGGCGTATGTGACCATGGGCTTTATTATAGTTTGGTAAATCCAGCATAACATATTTGGCTTTAGCTCCCATGTTTTACCAACCAGTTTGCGGCATGACCAGATGGCTGTTATAGGTCTCTAGAGCATGTTTTCTCTAACTGTTTGTTCTAAGTGAGTGTTTGGTCCAGGGTGACCCCTAAGTATTTCACTTCATTAGAAAATATTAGTGTTGTACCGTTACGCAGGGTGGAGGGTGGTTTAAGAAAAAAAAATGTTCAAGAAAAACTTGGTTCGAGTTTCTGAGCTTAAAGTTCTACCGACCAATCCACCAGAGACTTTCATTTTTCGATTCTCCTGCTCCAATGCCTCGTCTGCACCGAGAGAGCGGAATGCTCTGCCCTTTTTATTGGGTGCCTATTTTCCTGAACATAGATGTAGTTCCATGTTATGGGACCTTCACTCTTCATTATGGACAATTCAGCTAAATGGTAAGATATTTCAGATAAGTTTTTAGGGCCATATTTCTTAAAATCCAGTCCCTACTACGTACTGCGCGAACAAAAGAGAGTATAAAAAGGTACTCATGCTTATACAGATCTACTGATTGGCAAATGCAAATGTTGGTTTCGATTTCGTGTTTGAATCATTAAAAGCTTGCATTCTGGTACAAATTTCGGTTTTACTGAAAATACTTTGCAGATTCTCTTTAGACATACGAATTCTTTCCATGTCCGTTGGAGTATTCCAAGCAGTGGCTGAATCCGAGGCAAGATCCTCAAAAGCATTCTTTAAAACACCGAACAAATTAGTGCAAATTATGAATGAGTTATATACTCTTGAAAACTTGGTCGTTGACGCTGCCCTCTAGCGAAAAGAATAAGCAAAATTAATAACAGGAATTTAATAGAGCTGATTGACGCTGCTATGCTGCCTTTAGCTACAAAAAATCGAACAAATTACCCCATACACAAAGATTTTTATGATCCTAGGAACATAATGGATCCCTTCTGTGTGGAGTGTTGACGACAATAAAGTTCAAATTATGGACCTTAAGATAAAATATATTTTTGTTTTCAGTGAACCTTATATTTGTTGCATCTTGAATTCGTAAATGTAGCAACGAAAAGTGAAATTTCAAAGAAAAATATAATTATTATGAAAACAGGGCAGATTTTTGTCCAAATAAAACAGTCGGTTAAACTATTTAAATAAAAACACTTTCTCTCTTTATTGTTAATCATTATATGATTTGATTTTATTACCGTCTGGGGGCAAGTAATTAAAAAAAATTTAAGTGAAAGAAAATATATGTAGGAGGTAGATATTTAGTATTTAAGATAATTAAATTTTAATGCCCCTCTCTAGAATTTTGTCTATGAAATTGATCAATGAAACAATAGTTAGGTAGGTACCTAATTATTACAAGGTAGATCATTATTACATTAAAAAGTTCCAAAATATACAAAAACCGGGACAAAAACATAGTAGAAAGCACATTGTTTTGGTCATTTATTCAACAATTCCTTCTAATTACAGACAAAACTCTTGCGTCACAAGTAAAGTACTTGGGTAACAGGTTTATAGGCAGCATTTTAATGTATTGTCATAATATTTCTTGGCTGGTACCAATAAATACAATATTTTTCTCGTAAAGTGTCCGTTAAAACAAGGTTAAATAGCTTTCAAATTCGCTCAAGTTTGTGCTGTATCGCTACTATAAGTTGTTCTACAACCATTTCCTATTTCTAGGTAAGGTAACATTATTTGTAATTATTGTCTGTGTTGAAATTTCAATCATACAAATTTTTTTCAGGCATTTCAGTGAAAAGGCCCAAACAGGTAAAAACCTTGTTGAATAATAATATAACTTCAACAAAAAATTTAACTTTTAGATTAAACTAACGCGGAACATCTTTTAAAAAGCAATCATTCTAATTTACCAATCGAATAATATGGATATGGATGTATAAATTGAGGTTTAAAGGTTACAAAATGTGGGCGACCGCAATAATACATAAGGAAGGTACCCAATATTCAAATATGGACGGTTCACCGCACGTGTTACATAAAGACAAAATAGCTATGTGACATAAAACAATAACCTGTAGTGTACCGTAACTTTAATGAGGTACTTTATTGTCGTAGTTTGTTTTTAGAGATTTTTAACGATTTTCAGTTCAGGTACGTACTTGAAGTCGGTACAGGATAGGAAGAAGTTATGAAGAAGAAGTAAGAGAAGTTTTTGCAAAAGATTGCGGAGTCATTTTAAGTTGTTGAAGTGCTCTCCTTGGATGTTTAGTCCTTTAGTTTGTGTTACCGTTTTGTTGTTTTCTCACATTCTCTGATTATTTCTGGAGGTTTGTTGTTTTTGATTTGCTTCAGATTTTTCGTTTTTTTTTTATCATACTTATTCTCTTTAGTGATCTTTTCTCTGTACCTAATATAGGTTTGCATAGAATAGCTTAGTTTCTATATTTGTTTGTCCTCTATCTGTTATGATATCATTGTTTCGGTTTTTTTATATATATTTTTTTATTTCTTTGTAATACGATAATTCCTCTATTTTTCTGAATAAGTTGTTTGAAGAGTGAAAATTTTCCATATCTTGCTCAGCCATTTTTCTTCTTGTTTTGTTTATCGTTATTTTTCAATAGATAATTCACTCTGCCAGACAAATTTCCAATTTTGGCAATTTTTGTAATAAAAATCTGAATAGATCCTTCAATAAAAGTCCATCAAATTCTCCATAAAATCCCCATGTTTCCTCCATGTTAATTTTGACTGATCAGATTTTTTCAACTAAATCACCAGAGAAATAAAAGAAAAATAATAAAAAAACTACCTACAGGAATTTTAGGAAAATTAAATAAAAACTAAAAGAAAATACAAAATAGAATTTCCAAAAACTTCCTAAAAAAAAAATTACGAACAACTATGGATAAAGTTTAAGAAAAGGAACAATCTGAAACAAAAATGTACGCATAAAATGTGAAAACTTATAAATTTTTAATAGAAAATACATCTAAGAAAATCATCTCCTTGCACTAAACAATAAAAATTAAGAACAAACTAGTAATTTAGAAGTGTTTAGCACACCTACCTTATTCCGTATAGACGTTTATCTAAAAAATATCACACGAACCAATCCAAAGAGAAAATGCTGCTCTAGAACATTATTTTATTTCACTACTAAAAACACTATGTACACAATTAATTTAATTTTTCTCTGAAAATCCCAAATGTTCTTCCCTGGCAACGTATACCATATACAAATAAGTCGCAAAACTTAGCGCTACAGTTATAACAATAAATTTCAAATACAAAATAAAAAGGTTTCGGACTTCTTTGATTATAGTAGACAGTTTCAGTTTTCACGGAACTCGTTTGGCAATGAAATTTTTCACCGGAAAAACTCGGACGGGAGAAACGGCGTAAATACCAAAAACGGCCAAACGTACGAGCGCGTAAACGTCGTCCGGAACGTATTTTTCCAACTGCTTTGCCAAGCCGCAAAAGAAGTGAAGAAAAGTTTGAAGCATTTGATTGGGGGAGGGAGATTTTTGAAAAGGATTTTGTTATTTTCTAGTAGGTATTCTAATGCACTAGACGCGCGCAACGTCGTACTTGGCTGATGTGACTTAACTACAGCGAGTAAGTGGTACCCGATGCTCTTTGGTGGTTCGGGGTACCCAAGGCAGAGATGGACTTATACAATTTTATACAAATGTTCATATCTTATGCCTACAATAATAAATTTATTTATTTACCAATTCGGTACTTTTACAATAAAATTATTTATGCTTTGAACAATTTGATGAGCTCCTGATCTTCCTCTTTTCACTCTAAAAGTTTCAAAGTTCTGATGATTGGTTGATTGAAGTTAGATTTTCAAGAATTTCTTATGCTATGAATTTTCACTGAATTAATTTCAAATTCCAGTGATGAAGTCCTAATCTTCCTCGTTTTATTCCAAACATTTCAAAATTCTCCCCTTATTTGTTTTCCAGAAACACTTCCAAATTTAGATAGGTACCTACTACTAGTGCATTGTTTTTAATTTCAGCCAAAAGGAGAAGAATTCCAACTCCCAGACTTATGCCCTGACGAAAACAAGGATAAAGAAGATTACGAGAAATCTTTGGAGCAGTCCAAACAAGGATACAAAGACTACTCGGAAAAAAACAGAGGACGGCCCGGTTTGCCCGACAATTTAAATGTTTCTTTGGAAAAGATAGGAATTTTTGTACATATGTATATTGAATTGTACATTCTTGAATCCTAAAATCTGAATTCAATCAATTCCATAACTATCTTCCAAAAGCACATCTTACATCTCACAGTACATTCACTGGCCTTAATTAATTCCATTTATTGGTGTTTTTTATTTTCGGTACTGGGTGTAATACATGAACATTTCAATTCAGGTAGAGTACCATATTTAGAAAAAATTATTTTATTGAGGACCTCACCTATCACGTTTGAAAGGCCAGCTAGATCCAAACCTCTGGCCAGTAGACATTGCTTTCAAAAAGTTTCATCCCCGTCGTATGGGGGACAAAATCATCCACAGCAAGTTTTCAGAGGAAAGACAGAGAGGACCAGTCGCATTAGATTATGTTAACTTTCTGTACCAAAATATAAGAGGCTTAAAATAAGGTAAACCACAACATCCTTCTTTCAAAGCTCTCACTTACAGAATACAACAAGTCAATATCGATGGTTATCTTTTTTTTCCATGCATCCTTTGGGGTACCTTAAGGCTCTCACTCAGGCCCCTTTTTTATTCAGTATATTTATTAATGATTTAGGATCGTTGTTCTCCTCAAATTTTTTACTGGTCACTGATGACTTGAAGTTGTATTGTCAGCTGACGTCAGATCAAGACTTACTTATTCTGCAAAAACGATCTTAACATTGTTTATGATTGGTGTCAGCTTAATGACATGTCCCTCAACATTGACAAGTGTCGTTGTACAAGATTCAGTAGACTCACCCGTAAGGTTCCCTCCCCGATCTGAAAAAACTGATTGTAATCGCATAAGGTTTATGAAACATCAAAAAAACAGTTGAATGAAATCGTTGTAAAGCCAGATGGCAATTATTTGAAACAAACCTCAAGTGACTTCGATCAGTTTGTTCATATCGAAAGAATACCTGGAATGTTCGCTTGTCTGAAGTTTCTTTCATTAAAGAGTCTATCTAGATACCTACTAGGGTAATGTTCACCGAACATTTTGGAGTAGTAATTGGCAGGACTTGGGTTCATTAACACTATCAGAAACCTTACAAGCACACGCCGCATCAAGAGTCTTTACAATTCACTAGTCAGATCTGTTCTTGAATTTTCATGCATAGTTTGGTCACCTTACTATCAAATCCACATCAATAGGCTTGAGAGTGTTCAACACAAATCTATCAAGTTTGTAAAGTATAAACTTTCTCTGAGTGATGTGATTCTCAGTGATGACCAGACCTTGACTTACTCAGACTTAGCTATTGTTCGCAGAAGGGAATACTTTGATGTCTGTTCTGTTTTTAATGTCCTTAACTACTACATAAAAAGCCACGAATATCTTGAATGTTTAAGTTCGATTTTGTCATCTTTTCCTTCGATTTGCTCCGAAATTTTGACATCAGGCACGACGAAAAAGATGACAAAAACGAACTCGGCCTGTGTGTTCTATGATATCTATCAAAGTCAAAAAGCAACATTTAAAATTACTGGTGAATACCTTTACAACATACCTTTTAAAACAAATATTGGTAAGGATATAACAGTCTCCCACGTTATTTTATGAATAGGTACCTAAAAACAAAATTCCTATATGTTAACAAATAAAATCTTACAAACGTCTTGATTTTTCTCTCAGTCTCTGAGATCTTCGAGGACTTCGAGGCCTTTCTTCATAGTTAGGTGGTGGCACAAAAGCAGGGGTTGGTTCAGGGATTTCTACTGGACTGGCTGAGCTTGACTTGTAATAATCAATGGCAACTGAATTTCGCTATTCCAATCTGGTTTTGTGTCTTCTGGGTTTGCATGCACATTGGCAAAAGTTACTTGCTTTTTTAGAACTTCCGTTTTTCGAATTTGATCTGTATGTCGCTTCAGGGAATATCCATCATCTAAAAGTACTTGATAATGAAGAATACCATAATACTTCTGTGTAATATTTCCAAATTTCCAGGACATTTTATTATTTTCATAAAAACGAACTTGCACTCTATCTCCCACGCCTAATTGACGGGGTGAAGGATATTGTTCTTCAATTTTCACATGCTGCAGTGGTCGAATAGCGTCAAGTTTGATTCGAAAGAATCGATTTAAGTGAGTACTTTTCAGCTCGTGAAATGCCATCAGCAAGAGGTGTTACTCGATACTTTAGTAGAATTTTCCTCGTCATACTTGTAGGTTCATTACCCATAGCTTTTAATCGATTTTCCAGACTCTGTACATTGCAGCAAGCAAGCAAAAATTCCATATTCTCTACAAAACGACTTGAAAATATATACTACTCACAAAAATTGTAGAATTATTGTATACCATAACTTTCGAAAATCCATGTGTTGAAAAAATATCTTGTAAAGGTTCAATCGTTTTCGTCGATGTTGGGGCATCCCTGAATATCTTGACTTCTGCCTATCGTGATTTTGCATCTATGACCACTAGGAAATTGAAACCTTGAAAAGGACCAGCAAATATGATCCCAGTTTTTTTCAGGTAACTCCCAGTGGCGCAATGGAGCTTTGGCTGGAGAGGATCGAATTAGGGCAACCGCATGACATGATTTAACCAATGTTTCGATATCTCTATCGATTTTTTTCCAAAAACAATACTTCCTTGCCAACTGCTTCATTTTTGTGATTCCAATGTGAATTCTATGAAGTTCTGCTAACACAAAAGGTTGAAGTTTAGTCGGTATTACAACTCTTTGTCCTTTGAAAAGCACTCCATCTTCCAGTAGGTAATTAAATTCTAAAAATTGATTTGTCATTAAATCAGATTTTACTTTAGACAGGACGTCATCTTTCTCCGTCTCGACTCGGAAACTTTCAGCATTTAGTCCTAACGTTGATATGTCGAAAATTGTTGAATAACAGATTTCATTTACTTCTTCATTTAGAAACTTGTCAGTTGATTGTTGATTTTGATCAATTGGTGATCGAGATAAGCAGTCCACATTCGTATGTTCACAATCTCTTCTGTATTCTACCTCATAATCAAAACTTTAAAGGAACGAAGATTATCTGAGTAGCCTGGCAGACGTCATAGCTGGTAATTTCGCATTCTGGTGGATAAATCTTGTAAGCGGGCTGTCATCAATTTGAATTTTCTTCCATATAAATAGGAGAGATCGGGGCAAGTTGTAACAAAAAATATATAATTTTTTTTTCTGAGATCTGTTATCCTTAATCAGTTTTTTTTATGTAAATATCTACTTATATATGTGATGAATACATATTAAAAATATTCAAAAATAAGATGGCTAGCTTTATTTCAAGTTGGCATTGATGCTTTGTTACAACGTGCCCCGCCATGGGGTAAAACTTAGAGCAGGTAAAGCGCTGTCCTACGGACATAAGGAGTAGGAACGCGCCATTCTGCTATGAAACTAAAGTGAAGCCAGTTTTTGGCAGGTGTTTGTACACCAAACGACAGGTAAAGCATTGAATTTCCCATACCGCCATTATTTTGGATCTCAAAATACCTGGAAAAACCGGCTTCAAATTCCAACTTCATATTCCTACTCCTCTCACCTAGGAAATTACCTACTCTAAGGGGTAAAAAGAAAGAGTACATGGGGTAAGTTGTTTTAAATATTTTATTATTAATCTACATGCACAAACGTTAACATACACTATATCTACCTATTTCTAAAAATTGTGAATGGAAAGTGATTATCTAATCACTGTCAGAATTACAGTTATGGCAGATATATGGATAGTTTCCATCAGTGGACTCTTGATATGACCACAATTTGCCCGTCATGCACATAACCCATTTTTCTTTGGGTTTATTGTTCGCAAATTCTTCACCGCAAACTAGACAAAAAAACTCTTCTTCTGAAGAAGAATCTGAAGATACAGAAAAGAAACTTTTTTCTTCACTTTCTTTACTTTTAACTTCAAAATTTCTTTTAATTTCTTGAGGTTTCGACGGGGTTTGTTCTTCCTCAAGCGCATCTTTTTCAGGGGTTTCCGTATGCACTGCAGCTTTTCTTTTTTTTTAACCTTTAACGGTTGACTCAGCTTCAGATAGTGGCCCAACAAAAACTGGAGAAAAATTAATCTTTATTTTTAGAATTTGTCTGGGAACTATTTTAATTCAATCCTGATGTTGAAGCAACTGGGATTCAAATTCATTTACTTCAGAACAGGCAGGTGCCCGTAGATTCATAATAGCTGGTGAATTGGACCTGGATTTGTCAGGAGTTTCTTCTAGTAGATCAGCTGACGTAGGACTCGTAGGAGCCACAGATTCTGTTTCAGAAGATTGTGGAGGTGGTGGTGGTGGTGGTTGACCTGTCACGCTGGCTGGTAGAAATTCATCGTCGCCGATAATATGTCTGTTAAAAGGTTCTATACCAGAAAAATTGAAACCTTTTGTTATAATGTTTAGTTGAGTGGCTGCTAGTGGTAGCGCGTG